CTTATATATATTTACTTCTATATATGACATGAATAACCAATCAAAAGCTCAGAATGCCCCCCTAGTGGTTTTTTGAGCCATTTTAAATTCTTAGGATGCCATCTCTTTCTTTTGAACCAAGATTTTAAGGAGGTAGGTTGTGTCTTTAGTCTGCTTGAAATTTCATATTTTGTAGATCCAAATACAGCTTAGTTACTATGCTTGATAAATTATAGTGGAATTCTGTGGCATGTCCCCCTAGTGGCCTTTTGAGCCATTTTAAATTCTTAGGATGCCATCTCTTTCTTTTGAACCAAGATTTTAAGGAGGTAGGTTGTGTCTTTAGTCTGCTTGAAATTTCATATTTTGTAGATTCAAATACAGCTTAGTTACTAAGCTTGATAAATTATAGTGGAATTCTGTGGTATCGATATAGTAATTTATGATTTTTTGGTTATTTAACTGTATATATAAAATCTATAAAAATTATTTTGTTTCATATCCTCCACATGCAAAATTTTAAAAGTCTTAGCAACCTACATCAAGCAGCAACCGAGTACAGAGGTCATAACAAGAAGAGATAATTGTTTGCTTTGCTTCTTTATTTGCCATTCTATGTTTTGAGAAAAATACGTTTAAGAAATTGTTTGTAAATAGCAATAACCTACATACATATATATATAATGTATAATAATCGAAATGTGACTATTTTACAAAATACTAGTATACTAGAACACAGCCAAGACAGGTCACTTTGTAAAGACTAAAGGTCAGTTTTATATTATTGGATACAGTAACATGAGTGCACATGCACCATGTCATTGTAACTTCTGTAATGTTAGCCAGTCATGGCTGAAAGGTCAATATAATAAAAATAATAAATATATATAAATGTACAACGTTATGAGATTTAAGCTATTTAGTCTAAACATTTGTGTTTTTGTGTTACAATCTGTTGTCATTCTAGAATGAAAAAGGAATAATTTATATTTATTTCCTATTTTATTTTAAGGTGGTTACGAGATCGGTCAAATTGACCAAACTTGTTCAGAGATTCATTACTGGAAATAAGAGATAAAAATTAAATTTTTTTCTTAAAAAACATTTAATAACTTCTGGATATTAAAAGATTTTGCATGTGAAATTTCAAAATTTTCTGATGCATAAAAGTCTTTTTAATGTTATGAAAATTATTTTGCATGTTGGATAGGCAACATGCGAAAAGAAAAATAAGGCATGAGAAAAACATTGCTTACAAACCTTAAGACTTAATAAAATAACTTGATATTTTGCATATGAAAGCATTGTAATGTTTATTGATGATCTGCAAAATTTTGTTAACATACATTTACTGATTTAAAAGTTATAGCATGAAAACTATAACAAGCACACAATAGTGATGAGGTCAGTCCCAGGGACCAAGCCCATGCTGAAAGAGTTAATTAATTTAAGAATTATTCATTCATGTGGTATTGAATGTACCAAATATACAATCTAACTTCAGTGATTTTGCTTTTAAAAACAAAAACTTGAAAATAGTTAGTCTACGTTTTGTTAAGTAAAACCAATTTAAATTTTATCATAGGTTCACATATACTATACTGTACCTATACTTCAATGTTAGTTATTTATTTAGTTTGTGAGTGGGATAAGTTGTTTTAAAACTTGCTGCCATTATTCTTCACTGTATTTTTATCAGATTATTCCTCAGATTTATCTCTGAAAATAAAATATATTTTATTTGTTATTAAAAAGTACACAATAAACTACATTTGATACTAAAATTATACTTTCATAGTTTTACAGTTCTTAAAGTAAAAAACCAGTATAACATTTCATTTTTAAAATTAAAACATCATCAGCCTGAAAACGAAGTAGATCTTTGATAACCAACAGATATGCTAACATCAAATCAAGCATTGATAAATTTAAAGTAATAAACTCTGAAAATTATTTCTTTGAAATGTTATGTCTGTCTTGTTTCAACAATAAACATGCATGAGCCTCACAAGACGCTTATTTATTTATGTACTTCACACATATGCCATTAATACAATATGGTAAATGAATGATTGTTATTGAAACAACTAAAACTTCTGATTTAATTTCTGTAGTCTTTGAATTATATTTTAATATTTATGTTGACTGAAAGTAATTTAGAAATTTGTTCATCATTAGCTTTAATTATTTTATTATTCATAATACCTTTACTGCTTTGGGAAAAGTTAAGGATACTTATATATAGCAAATAAGACATTAGACGTATATAATGTTCAAATAAGTATTTTTAAATGACTAAAAACCTAAAATTTTAAATAAGGTCTACTAAATAGCAAATATTATTTAATTTCAAAAGTCTTTAACTTAAAGTCAGATAAATAAATGCATAGGAATTTGTATTGGTACTGCTTAATATCTGTTCTCTAACAGGGACTGACATACTAATTGATAATTTGTATAAGCACTGCTTGATATCTGTTTTCTAATAAGAACTGACATTCTAATTGATAATTTGTATAGGCAATGCTTAGTATCTGTTCTCTAATAGGAACTGACATGCTAATTGATAATTTTTATTATTGACTTTTTGCTAATTGATAATTTTTATTATTGACTTTTTTGCTAGCTGAGATGTGGAGCTCACATCACCAGATCCTTGTTCATTAGGTTTTATCTGTTACTCAGTGTTAAGCATTATAAAGCCCCAGGCAACATTCTATCATCTACAGTCCATTATATGGACTGAAAGCACTATCAAGGCTTATTCTGTGTACAGTAGGTGATATATACATAGTGTCTGTTTGTAAAATAATGAATAGGCTATCTTGTTTCATGACACTCGGTCTTTGGTTCCTGGTGTTTTCAAATTCAAATTGAAAGGCCAAATGAGTTGAGAAAATTAAACATTTTTTGAAATAGAAATTAAAACATAATATATTGTTTTTATTATACTTATTTGTCTATCTGATCTGTTGGGGATTATTATATAAATAAAATAGATCTGCAGAATTAATATGAAATTAGATATTACATGCCATAAAAAATAACAGAACAGTGTTATATTTTTCTTATATTTATAGTAACCTACATTGTCCATTGCTAATAATAATTTGATTTGTTGTTTCTTTTCATCTGTAAGCACCAGAAATAATACACACACACACAAACAGAAATGTAAGGTATGTGCAAGGAATCTGAGTAAAAAAACAACACTAATAATAAGTGTTCCCCACAACATATGTTTAAAACTACTATGCAACTTTTTTAAAGATACAATTAAAATATTCTAGCATGGTTCTAGCTAGTTTAAAACTTGACCTTACACTTACCAACGTGAAAATTAGTTAGAGTGTTCTTAAGTGTTGTATTACTTTTGGACCTGCATATACATATGTATGTTTACCTATATACTAAGTATGTATGCTTTATGCCTGGTAAGCAGTGCACACATTAGAGTTTGTCTAGTACATAAAGTTAAGGAGAATTAGGAAGTTTGAAGAACAAATTGAAATGAGGTGTGTGATTTCTACTGTGTCAACATATTATCCTCTATTTTTTGCTTACATTTCACTGATGAAATTTATATTGTAAAATAAAAATTTTTGCTTTAGTGTTGAAAACTGAATTTAGCTTGTTTTTGATCTTGTAGTACATGTTGAATTACCTGAAGTTGGAATTAAATCACTAATGTTTTAGAATTTAAGTTTAAAAATGTCATACACTACATTTCAGACATTGATAAATAACCAGAGATTATTTTTCACACTGTTGAAGTGAGTAACTCATTACATAAATGAGAGGAACTGGCAGTATTGTAAGAATAGTGTTACACGTGAGTGAAAAATACTATTTTCATACATATCAGTTTTATTATACTTCTATTCAGAATTGCCATTCTGTTTATATTACTGAAGTTAAATTGGTATTGCATAATTTTCATGCATATTAATAAATTGAAAAGATATGTTGTTGAAATAAATATCATATTGCAAATGCACCTAGTAGTTATATGCTACAGCTGTTATTGTTTACATAAAATATATAGTATTGTTTTTCCATAAATTGGATAAATATAGACGTCATGTTGACATTGAAGTTTTGATTAATAACTGAAAAGGAAACATTGGAAGTTAACTTTACATTGCTAACTTTATTCTAGCTTTCAATTCATGTTGTAAAGATGTAAAATTATTTGATTACAAATTTAATTATTTTTATATGTTGATGGCTTATAATTTAATTTTAAGTTACATGTGCACATAATTTGGAAATACATGGAATGTTCTCACTTTACAGCATTAAGAGAACTTTGTTTAAGACCCTGGCAGAAGCAGTACGTGAGAGTGAAATAGCCAACACTGATCCAGCTACGGTCATTGTTCGAGCTACAAAGCACAGGTCAGGTTTTTTTAGTCTAATTTAATAACAGAATTGTAATAGTAGTTGCTATTTTCCAGTTTTATGTATTTTTATTTATTTTTTTAGACAGTTTGGAAACTCTTGACAGTTCAATGTACACCGGAATCATTAGATATTGTGAAACTGATGTACACAGGACAATCAAAAAATGCAACTTTAATGAAAATACACGTTAGAAATTAAAAACTAAAGACATTGAGGCTATTGGTTATTGTAAGCTTAATGTGCACTATTCATCCAATACTATTACATTGTTACATGTCAATTACCTGTTAATATACACTGTCACTATCTTGAAAATAACTTACTAGAAAAGAATATGAACAAAACACTAACATTAGTTACTTATACTATTATCACATGATCTATGTCAGTTTTTTGTAGGGTCGAATTCTTTATGGTAGGTGTTTGTAATTTATTAGCGATAAATTTCAACAATAAATGGACAACACACCCTCCATGTTTTAAAATAACATGTATTCAAAATACAGGTGGGTTCAGTTACTTTAGAATACTCTTTGACAAGACAAATTATTTCTTCTCTGTTATCACAATACAGTCAGTGATAAATTCACTTACTTTACCCCGTGTGTTGCCATAATTGTATCCAAAGCTTTAAATGAATTATTCTTCTCTATCTCTGTTGTTACAATACAAGCTATGATACTTTCACTTTAGAAATCGCTTGTTACAGCTAAACTGACAATCACACAGTCTGACTTCACTTTTTCCACTTTTATTGTCACTTCCTCTCTGTATCTGCACATATTTATAACAAGAGACAAAAAAAACCTAGAAATATCTAGCCTTCTAATAACAACAGTATTAGACATAACAAGAAAGACTTACGAGCTTTGAGTAAGAGGAAGTTAACAATATTACCAAAGCTACAACAATTAAACTACTTATACAAAGTACGATACATACAGAGTTACCTAAAGAAATTTGTCATAACTATCACTTTTAAAATAATTAACTTTTAACACACTTGTTATGAAAACTAAATAATCATTAAATATGATATCACAAAATATACTAAACAATAACTCTTAAACTGAACAGTTGTATATGCAACAATCTATAACTTATAGCGACAAAAGTATACAATAGCTTAACTGTTCTATGCTGTAAATTATCACTTCTTACTAGAACTCCTGTTGTTTATCACTTTTTTGTTTAAAATTACATATTGGTCTGTAGTTTCAGCTTTTATTTGAATGGTATTTGTAAAAACAAAGTAATCATGCTATAGATAGAACTATTAACAGATTTAAGGGATTTGAACCGGGCTAATGATGACTGAAAACATCATCGGATTTTATTAATGCATAACTTCATAAAGAATATATCTTTATTCAGGCTAATTCTTTCTAAATTTCCATGCAGTTGTTCTGCATGTAATTATGATATCTTCACAAGCAGATGTGGGAATGTCAAACTTGCACTGAGCCTATGCATTAGACAAAGGTTACATACTACAATGCATGTTTTATAGGCTTATACTTGCTTGCCCCTGTTTCTACACCATACTCTCCTGGAGTGGGATCATGCTCAAGTTTTGGGAAATAGATCTTGACACGTTAGTATAAGTCAAACTTTTATTTCCTTTAAATATGGTTATTGATAAATGATCTTTGACATGGGTAATCTAAGGATCGTGGTATACTGCACTAGTGTTCTAACTCCTATCATCTTTGTTCTGTGTGGATGAATTGTGTGCAAATACTCTATTAAACATTTCTAAGGATTTATACTTTATAATATATTGGGTGAATTAGCATTAAGAAGCTCCAGTCTTCATTCACTATTAAATATATAAAATACTCTTTTTTCACTAATTAGCTGTATCTTCTTACTATGAAAGCTCAGACAGATACAAACTCTAGAAGAATTCTCCTCTCTCATATAGTTATTGTCATTATATGTTAGTTATGTTATGTTTTAAATAATTTTGTAAACATTATTGGCTTTACAAAATTGTTTTTTTATCAATAATTTCTGATCAAAGCAAGCTATCTCCATAGATCAGAAAGTGCAGCCATAGAAAAAAATTTATAATTGTCAAAATGCATTGAATCATCAGTTTAATACGATTCCTATTAACAGTATTTTCAGACATAATCCCAATAATATATTATGTGGTTTGGCCATCTTAAAAGATACTAGCTAATTCTAAATTTAGATGCTTAACTAAAAGAGCAAAATAATTTTAAGAATGAATGTATATAATAAAAATTATATATAATAATATATTAAAAATAATAAATTAAAATATCTATATTAGAAACTTTATTCTCTACTGTTATTACAAATTCACAGTAAAGAAAGAATAGGTGAATTGTTCTCTATGTGCACTGTCACTGATTCCCCCTTCCTTTAATTTTATGTCCAGTTAATTATTCCAAAAAACTGAATATTATCAGATGATACATTTGTGAATATAGTAAATTTGTAAAATAAAGTAGTCATTCTATGTTTAATTTTACCTTTTTTTTATGTTATTGTAGGCTGACAGAAACAGCTCGCTTATTAAAAAATGTGTTCAAACGAACTACTACACATGTTCCACTGGAAGTTGAACTTCAACGTAAGTATTGTAAAAAAAAGTGATTTTGTGTATTTTAGTTGACTGTCACTTAATTATCATAGTTAATTTCTTATGGAAAATCTATTAAAATGACATTAGTGTGTTGTTTCTGCTATTTTCTGTACTATTTCATTATTTCATTTTAACACTGGAATGTTAACCACAGTTGCATACATTCAGCTGTTGTCGTGGCAGTTACTTATGTAAAAGTTATGACTGATATAGTCAGGTGTCTTTTCAAGGGTTTTTTTTTTCAGTATACCAATAAAAGTAGTTATTTTAAGCTTTATTTTTATGTCTTGAAACTGATATTGTAAAACCATTATGAAGAGCATGTTAGACAGATTTAGTTACATCAAAAGCCTAAAGTAAATTAAAAATAAAATATTAACAACACCAAATACTCTTGCTGAAGATACTGAACAACACAAAATGGTCTAAGCTGGTTATCATGAACTTTGGCTTGTGGTTAGTATTTGCACAAGCTTTATAGTATTTGTGATCCATTATAATGTTAAATATGAAAAACAATTTTAAATTTTAAAATATTAATCACATTTGGTATCATTACTTCCACTGTGAATAGATTATGTTTAAACATTGCTCAGTAGTTTAACAGTATTAGAGATGATATGAGATCATAAAATTGGATTATAGATTCTTATAGGCTCCTAATTAACCCTTTCTAGATGGGTCACAGGTGAAAGGCCATGTCATCTTGTTTGTTGACTCGCATTCAAAATTTTACTGAACTACTATTTCATGGATTTATGCCAATAAGTTTGGTATCAAACTGTAGATTATAATTCAAATTTTAGAACTATACATTACTCAATTTGTTAATTTAAAAGTAAATATTAAAAAACAGATAAACATCAATTTTTGTGTGTCACATGGTATGTTGAATGCACCACTGATTCAAATTAGATCTTTGTGAAGTCAAAATACTAAGTCTATAGTTTCACACGAATTAGAAACTCAAATTACAGATATTGAGAAGCTAGAATATAAAATAAGGTCTTATCTTTTCTATTTGCTAAGATATTGCTCACATAATAAATGAAACACAGTGGCACCCCACTCACCACTTTCAATTTTTGGAAATGCTCATTTATTGTTACACTTACTTCTATGTATGACATGATAACCAATCAGAAGCTCAGAATGTCCCCCTAGTGGTTTTCTCAGCCTTTTTAATGCACCTAGCACCATTTCTTTCTTTTGAACCAAGATTTCAGTGGGATAGGTTATGTCTTTAGTCTGCTTAAAATTTCATATTTTTTTAGACCCCAATACAGCTTAGTTACTAAGCTTGATAAATTATAGTGGAATTCTATGGTATCGATATAGTAATTTATGATTTTTTGATTATTCAACTGTATATGTAAAACCTAAAAGAAATATTTTGTTTCATGTCTTTCAA